AAAACATATTGGGTAAAAAATTTAGACTAAAAGAAAAAATTTCGTATTTAATATATTTATTCAAATACTATATCCAATCTTTTTTTTTTTGTTAATTAGAGTTAATAAAAATTTTAAAATACAATAATGGTAAGTATCAAAATACGTATAATCAAAGCGAAATAATATATTTTAAAAAAATAAATCATTATTTTAACTAATAGACTCTAAATAGTAAATTTATTTAAACCATATTTTATTGTATTTAACTAATAGACTCTAATAGTAAATTTATTAATTATTTAACCATATTTTTAAAAATTTAGAACATTATAAATTAGAAGAATTTAAGTTTTATTTTCAATACTTAAATTAAGATTTTCAATTGACCTCTTAAAATATTACCTGAGAACTTATAATTAAAAACATCAAAATCTATTAATTATTCCTCATCCCAAGAAGATAGTCTACTTTTTTTTTTTTTCACACAGATTAAAAAATATAGTTAAATGACAATTTTATTCATATACTTTCCTATTATGCCCATCTTAAATAACAATGAGTGTTAAAATAATAACTAAGAATTAGTGAGGGGTATTGAAAATTTGGTAAAATTTAATAAAGACATAGTAGACAATTCAAGAATTAACTATAATACAAAAAATGAAAGTGGACTATATTTTGAGACAAACCAAAAAGGAAAGATGTATTATCTTTTTGGGACGGATGAGTATAAAAATCATGGGACAATAATGCTGCAAGATCAAATAGAGAATAATATCACTTCACACTTCCGGAACAAATAATCAAACTGCCATTTAATCTGTTTGGATATTTAAATTGCTTACATGCCTTATTTTGTTATAGGAATAAAACTCAATTTGGTCCTTGAACTTGTTTAACATGATCAAAAAGATCCCATATCACTTTTTAGGTCAATTTAACATTTAACCCTTGAACTTATTTTATTTTTCTAAAATTAATAATTGATTTAATTTAACATGAATTTACTTTTATCCTTTTTGTCCTACACTAAGAACACTCATATCAAACTTTTTCCAACACTTATAAGTATAAATTAAAATTCATCTTATAACATAATAAATTTTCACATGCTTTAAACTTTAAATTTTTTAATATGAAAAATGTATAGATTTCACAAGCTTATAATCCAATAATTGGAGATAATTTTAAAAAATGTTCACATTAATACATATTTATAAATCAAAACCATCAATCAAGGTAAAGAGAAATAACAAATATACTTCAATATTCATTTCTATATTTTATAATTAATTATATTTTATAATTAATTAATTTTTTAAAAAACAATTCCAACTACAATTTTAATAAATGTTTATATAATGATTTTCACATTGTAAGTACAATGAATAATTAGAAGTTGAATTGACTCAAAATATCAAGTATGATTTTTTAATTATAATGATTTTTCATGTTATAAGTACAATGATGAATTAGAGGTTAAATTGACTCAAAATGTCAATTATGATTTTTTAAATCATTTTAAATAAGGGGTTAAATTAGCCTAAAAAGTGAAATCGAATGTTTTTAATTATTTTATACAAGTTCAAGGGCTAAATTGGCATAAAAAGTCAAATCTGACCTTTTTTTATTCTGCTAAACAAGTTCAGAAATCAGATTGACCTTTATTCCTTTTGTTATACATCAATATTTTACTTGTACAATAAATCTTTTTTTTTTTCAAAAAAACAAAGGCATAACTTCTGAAATTATGTAGCTTCATTATGTATTGGTCTATCCTGAAAATAGAATTTATATATGCAATTGATATATTCTAGTTATGCTTAGAGAAAAAAAAAAATTCATAACTCAAATCTTCACGGCAACAAACGGCTAGTTTAACAAAATAAATATTATATGATAAGAAATTCCAAATACTTTAATATATAAAATAAATATATTAAAATATAGTATTTAATTACATAATGAAAAATGAAACTAACCAATTAATTAAAACTTTAAATAATATATTAGATTAAACTTCCTAATAGAATTTAGATTAAAGTAGAAAATTAACATAATCAATTAAAATTAAACTATTTTTATTTTTCAGTAAAAAAATTAAAAATTAAACTAAGCAATTAAATTAAACTTTTAAATAATATATTATATTAAAGTTCTCAATTAGAATTAATGCCATAAAAATAGGGAAGTAAGAACATACTCAATAATAGTATAAAATTTTGCGAATATGAGTTTAAAAGACGAATAATCATTGGACATATAGGCTTAAGGATAGGGCATTACCCTAAAGCCATATATTTTATATATAGTGTAATTGTTGGCAAATGGATAAATTCACTTATATATTTTTATGTAAAAAATTTTGTGGCGCCCTTAATTTTTATATTGATTTATTGAACACTTTAATTTATAAAATTATATCTATTAAGTACTTCAACTTGCAAAAATTATTTTATTGAACATTCAATCTTATAAAATTAGATCAATTAAATACAAATACTTATTAAATATTTGAAAAATGTGAAAAATTATTGTTTCAAAAATTATACTTATACCGCCTCAAGTATATATTTTGCATATAAATGTCAAAACACGAAAAAAATGGTTATTACTAGTACAGAGAATGATACAATGCTATCAAATTCATAATTTCAGGAGCATAATAAGTCCGTCGAAAGTTTTAAGCGCTACACTTTTTTTTTTTTTTTTTTTTTTTTTTTTTTTTTTTTTTTTTTTGATAAAATGCAAGTGTCAATTTATGGATTTGACTTGTAAATATTGTCCTGTTAATGGAAATGCTAATATATTCACTTCAATAAAGTAATTATTTTATTGAATATAAATCTTAAGTAGCTTGTTAGAGAATATATTTACCAGTATTGTGAATATGAGGGACAAACTCTCTAGTACAAATACTTTAAAAGGTTTATGGTCGCAGGAACTTTCATTTGGTACATTTTATCAGATCATCACATCTATTTGTTTTCTCATGATGAGTATGATGTATTAATGAAGATGGAGGTGGTAAGTTTTATCTTACCTGATTGGAGAAATGAGTACGTCAAACATGTAATGTTATATCTGTAACACTCATTATTCGGTCATAAAAGATTAGACAATGGATGTCAATGTTGTGCTAGAGGCACATGACTAAACATGCTAAGATCATAAAATTAATATAAGATACATCATACACTCTTATATATCAATTCTTATGGATCCTCAAAGTGTGACTTAAAAATTTTTCGAAAAATTCTACAGAAAAACTATAATAGCTTTCCTTACGTTACAATAGTCCCAAATTAAAATCTTGATAGCCAAAACTCTTCTACATTTCAGCATCATCGCTCATACATTCAAACTCCAATATTATCATAAGAATAGATTTAATAGATTTCATATATTGCCATTGCTATCCCATCTCCTTTAATAAATAAATCCTATGTCAAAATTTTCCAAATGGCCAGACAATGACCTCTTTGTTAATTATTGCATACCTTTTAAATTTCGGTGGAGGGAAAATTTATCTAAATTGGTCTATAACTTTATTCATAGACCAAAATCAATGAGAATAAAAGTTTCTTAATATTGAAAATGAAAGTATTTCTGAATCAATACACTAGGAACAAAAAGGTAAAGTCCAGAACAATTTTAAAATATTCCTTACTGTCATTGATTTGGTTGCAAATGTGTGCTGCAAGAAGCAATGCTTTGCGTGTAAGCAATTACAATGCATTTGCGACGAAGGCGGCAATTGATGCAGATGTTTCGTGGGTAACATGCAATTAGTTGATAAATTTTATGCCAAAGTGGTTTTAAATGCAGGATGCTATCTATGTTTTTTGAAGCGATGTCAGATAAGAGTGGTTGTTACGTGGAAGTTCAATGGTGGCGGGGGTTTTGTGCAAAATTCGCTTTATGAGGAGGCTCTGGAATTTTTTTACCGAGCTCAAGCAACTGGGAAGAAATATAACCAGCTTTCACAATGTTCATCTGTTATTTGTGCTTTTGGCAGGTTTGGCAAGCCCTAATTGGAAGGAAGACAGCGTGCATTCTAATTCGTTTTTTAAAACTGGGTTTGGTTCTAACAATTTTGTGGCTTCTTCTCTGTTGACCGTGTAATGCTAAATGGGGTGTTGTAGTGTTGTAAAAGAGTCTTATATTGCATTCTTGGATGCTCAAGGGAAGAATATTGTTTTATGGAATGTAACGATTTCTGGGTTTGCTAAGAATTCTTACTCTTGGGAAGTAATGATTTTGTTTGAAAAAATGCAGCAGGTAGGTTTGTGCCCAGACGAAATGACCTATGTTTCACTATTGTCAGCATGCAGTCATAAGGGTCTCGTTGATATGGGACGGAGCTATTTCAAGCTTATGACAGGAGAGGACAATGTGTCGCCAAATGTCCTTCACTACGCATGCATGATTGATATTCTTGCTAGGGCAGGTTTAATACACGAAGCTCATGAGTTGATAAAGAATTTGCCATTTGCTGCTACAGCTTCCATGTGGAGATCAATTTTGGCATCTTACGGGACACATGTAGTTAGGGTATTGAGCTGTATGACTATATATAGGAAAGTCATTGTACAATATGAGATACGAAATACATCTTCTTTCAGTGAATATGAGGGACAAACTCTCTAGTACAAATACTTTAAACTGTTTATGGTCGGAGGAACTTTCATTTGGTACATTTTATTTAGAAGATCATTACATCTATTTGTTTTTTCATTATCAGTATGATGTATTAATGAAGATGAAGGTGGTAAGTTTTATTTTACCTGATTGGAGAATTAGAATAAACACATTGACACTCATAGAAATGAGTAGGTCCAACATATTATATATGTAACACTCATTATTTAGTCCTAAAAGATTAGACAACGGATGTCAATTTTGAGCCAGAGGCACATGACTAAACATGCTAAGATCATAAACTTAATCTAATATACATCATGCACTCTTATATATCAATTCTTGTGGATCCTCAAACTGTGACTTAAAAATCGGATCTGTGGGGATTGTCATTCTTTTATGAAGCTTGCATCAAGCATTACAAAGAGGGACATTATTGTTAGGGATGTAAACAGATTTCATCATTTTAAGGATGGATGTTGTTCTTGTAGGGAGTTCTGGTGAATGCTAGTAAGTAACTCGGTCATGGCGGTTGTCAATCAAACTAAACATTGTTGATTGACTGTCCAAGCTCTTTGTAAAAATTCGGGATTGAGAACAAATTTCAGCAATCACCATCTCATTCATCTGAGAACCTGCTATACATTGTGCAACATGTTAAAATCAATTAAGTAGATACGGAACTTCTTTTGATGGGCGGACTGGAATTAAGGTTTCTACCCTAAACCTTAGAGATCTTACTTACAAGTTAACGGTTAATATTTTCAAATTTTCATTTCTCTACATTTTTCTACCTGATTTATTTGTTGTTAGTGGGAATCAATTAAGTAGATACGGAACTTCTTTTGATGGGCGGACTGGAATTAAGGTTTCTACCCTAAACCTTAGAGATCTTACTTACAAGTTAACGGTTAATATTTTCAAATTTTCATTTCTCTACATTTTTCTACCTGATTTATTTGTTGTTAGTGGGAAATAAAATTGGGAAAAGACTCTTAGCAAGTGAAAGTGGAGATGGCAACTAAAAGTTTACAGGTAAGCAAACTTCATTCTTGAAAGTAAGGGCAAGGAGCTGCTTTTCTACCTTGAGATAGTTGTGCTGTTACGTAACTAACTAAATTAGCATAACTAACAACCTGCTTTTTGTATACTAATATGAGCTTATTTGACAACATCTTGAGATTTCATCGGTAGAATGGCTTCCTGATTCCGCTCAGGTGACAGTAACTTATGCGAGTATAAGCAGTAACTTATGCGAGTATAAGAAGTTTCAAGTAATGCTGCATTCTGTGAGTATTCTTTCATAAACTATAGGTTTTGCTTTCATCTGCACTTAGATTCATTTATCAGACATTATTGGGCACTTAGATTCATTTATCAGACATTATTGCTAAAAAGAGACATGGATGTTTGTAGTCCCAACAAAATAGGAAATAGAAACTAAAAACTGAAAGAGTGACTGTTGAAATGGAAAACCGGATCATCGGATTTTCTGCACATGTTAATTGATCTGCATTCTGCAGCAACACTTGACTCCAGATTTGGAGGACCACATACTATCACTCCCACATCAAGACTCGCAGATTTGGAGGACACATTTCACTCCCACATCAACATCGCCCAGAGCCCCTAGATATGGAGTCCAAAAATTTCTTTGCGCGCAAGAAGAAGTCATTACTTGAATTCTCATGTATTTTATTTAGTTCACCTGTGGATTTAAGATCATATGAATTTTAAATGTACCTTTAAAGTCTGGTCCTTGCTCCATACTGAACAGTAGTTTGAGCCGGCAAGATTTTCCAAAAATGATGTGTTCATTTCCCTGTCCGCCATTGATCTTTACTAAGTTTCTCTTCTCCCAGATATGCCATAAAGCAACCACAGCACCACCAAAGATTACAACACCGCCAACCATGCAGGCTAGAAGAAGCAATCCTTGATGCCACCAATTAGTTATATTAAATGGGGTTATATAAAAGACATTTAGTAAAGTCGTTAACAGGACCAAGCCAACTGTTGAGGATATCACATAAGCTCCAAACCATGTTTTATTCCCTGTGCTAACTAGAGCAGATATGGCATTCCCACTGGAGAAAGAAGAGATAGAAGAGGCAGATCTCACAGTCTCGTACAATGCTCCGATTTCCTGAAATTGACAATAATTTGTTATCGATCGAGCTAATTACTGAATTTGAAAGAAATTATTTTCTTGTAGAAGAAAATTAGCAGCAAGAATAATTTAATATGAAACTTACCATTGGAGATTCTTGTTCTCGAGTGACATAAATAAGTATCTCGAGATGAAGCACATCAAAAGGTAAAGGAACAAGTGAGTTCGTGTTAATTGTGGAAAGAAGAGAAAGCTCATCTGACTTTTTCACAGCCCAAACAAGAGTAATGTTTCTCGGAATGTTTCTCGGAAGACATGGCTTTCCTTGATTAATACGATGAATAACATCACTCAGAACGGCAATGAATGGCGATATCCCAATTCCACCTGCTACTAAAACAAGATTTTCATACCTATGAAAATACAAAAACTTTAGTTAGTCCATATTATTTGTTCAAATAATGCTAAATTTACCCCAACAACATTCATGATTTCAATGTACTCCAAAATGGAGTTTTTAATCAATTTAATAAGAATTTTCAATCCAAAGATGAATTTGATCCATTTTTTGACCCGCTAACATATGTGAAAGACATTATGGAAAATAATAATAATAATTACATGGTTTTCTCTCAATTTTAACGCATTTTTCATTTTTGCTCAGTGACTTAACCAACACACTCATTTCAGTCAAAAAATATATTTATTTAGTCTCCTAGTTCAAAATTCCTATTAAAATTGATCAATTTCAAATAAATTGTACATTATGTGTGAAGTTCAAAGGCAAATTAAGCATTATTCTCCTTATTCGTAGCATCTTAAGTAAAAAACGAGTACATACATCAAGTGGTATGGTAACCGATTACCATAAGGCCCTTCAACAGAAGCTCTAATCTTATTATTAGTCTCAACATTGTCTTTAAGTCCATTTGTCCAGTCTCCAGCAGCTTTGATGAGAAGAGATATGCGATTTTTACCATCCAGAGGACTAGACGACACACTGAAAGGATGCGATTGGAGCAAAGATAATTGGGGAATGCCAAGTAATTGGGGAATGCCAAGGAAAAGAGAGCCAAGAGCATTATAGTTAATTAGACCTGTAGTAGTAGGAGCTGACAGAACCAACTCTACCACTCCGCAAGGGAAGCATTTCGTTGAAACTGTTCAGTTAAGGGATAAGAAGCCCGTGATCTTCCAACCACATCGCGACTGTTCTAGGAGGGCAGGATGGGCAACGATGATGATGGCCATTGCAGGTCTTTTACTGTTCATGACAGTAAGATTTTAACAAAAAAAAGAAAAAACGATTTTGGAGAATATGGCACATCTTTTTGTCCCTCATCGTTTTTTAATTTTTCAATTAGAAACCTTTTAATTTATTCAATTATGTCATGAAATTAATTTTGATTGTATATATAAAAATCATTATGATTCCATCAAAGTCAATTAAAATCTATAAAAAAAAGTCTCACCAATTCTATAAAACTTTACATCGAATTCTAGTGGAATATGTGGAAATCTTATGAAATCCTTGATACATTTACTTACAGAAAATATTTTTTTTTTTTTTTTTTTTCTATTTTCCTGTGTTTTAAGAAAACAGTTTTCTTAGAAATGAATATAGAAAATAGAAAATGCTTCCTTAGTTTAATAAAAAATAGTAATATTTTAATTTAACTTGCACAATTATTTATAATTTTTATAAGTAAAAGAAAAATAATTATAAAATAAATTTAGAAATTTTGTATGTAAAGTTTTTAAATATTTACTATTTATTATTATAATAATTACATATCATTTTGTACCATTTTGTAAAATTTTTTAAAAATAAGGATATAATATATTTTATAATTAAATTAATTATTTATTAAAGCATAATTAAATTTTATTTTACTTAAAAATATTTTTTTTTTTCAAATGAAAATATTTTACTAGAAAAAATTATTTATAGATAGATATTATAATTTTAATTATGAAAATCTCATTTTAAAAAAGTGGAAAACATGTCTTTTGTTATAAAGAAAAACTATGAAAATTTCAAATCTTAGTTAAAATTTTGAAAAATAGAAAACTGTTTTCTAGTTTTCCAAATAGAAAATTGAGTGATTTGAATACAAAATTATATTTTTCAGTTTTCTTAGAAAACTTTTCTAGAAAACTGGAGTAGTTTTCTACATATGAGCACACCCTTTTATTTTCATCAAACTCAATAATTTTTTTAAAAATCTAACACAATTTTAACTCGATACAACCCGAAATTTGCAATTATTTTTAAAAATCTAACACGATTTTAGTGTATTCTTGTCACGGAAATTCTTACCTATGACATTGGTTTATCATTTTTTACTTTTTTTTTAAACATTTGGTTTTTAAAATCCACTTGTCCGATTAATTTAGATTCACAATGGACAAGTCCACAAAAAAAAGCAAAGCACTCTATTTTCGAGTGTTTAAAAGGATTTCATATTGAGGGCTCGAACTCGAAATTTCTAGTTAAGGGAGAAAACATCCCTGCCATTCCATTTTATCCCTCAATTATCAATTAGAACTCGAAGTTTAAGTAATTTTTTTTTTTTCCCTTTTTTTTCTGGTTAGTTGGATATATTTTACTCCAACTCCAAGTTTGTTAGCTATAACTAAGGGAATGGCAACTGCCGACTAATCTACTTGCCTTGGACTGGCAATTAGTTAGGTAGGCCACAACGAAAATAATACAATATTACAAAATAAAAACCACAAAGATAAGGTCAATAAATAATTAATGTTTACTAAGACGTAGCATAATGATTAGACTAACATATAGTCGAAACGAAATTAATTTCTTTACTAAAATAAATTATATATATAAAATAAAATAGCATTAAAAAGAAAAAGACAAAACTGTACCATTTGTCTCCAATAGTATACTCAGGATTCGTAAAAATGACACTGATCTTCTGCACAGCGTAAATGCAAGCAACCCACGCGATATATCCGAGAAAGACTAGAATCCCAATAAACTCTGCCGCAGAAACTACACCAAAAGGTCCGTGACCTCTTCTTTTTGCTCCCCCTTTCCTGTTAAAAGAAAAAAAAATTATTAAAATTTACGAAAATTAATTGCTTCGTTAATACCTATGCAAATACCTCAAATGTCTTATTATATATTGAATCAATGAAAGTAATAAATATCCATATCTTTCTTAAATAAAAGTTTGAGAAAAAAAAAAGCCAAAAATAAAAGAAGCTATTTTAGAGAAAAAAGCTATTTTAGAGAAAAAGTTATTTTCTCTTCTTCCCAATTTTAGAAATCCTTTCTTAAAATTTTATACACTCTATGTATTTTATGCTTTTGTTTTTGTACGTTTTCATTAAGAAAACCTTCTCCTATAAAATAAGAGAAGGGGATGCGTTTTAATCAACGCATCCACCAACTTTTGTTGAAAAGGAACGCGTACTCTTTTTTAATTTTGCTGCCTCTTTTGAACAACAAAAACGTGCTTCTTGTTTTTTTTTTTTCAAACTTTTTGTGAGTCCTATATGTCGGAGTGACCCACAACACCACTCATTTTCTCTTTTTTTTCTTTTCAAATGTATGTGGGTCCCACGTGTTGGAGAGACCCGCAACAATAAAGTCTGTCATCTAATTCGTTTCGACCTATACAATGAGTATCTTCTTGCTTTCCAATACTTTTTATGTGGCAATGGCTGGAATGACTCTAGAGGTATTATATGGCTAAGATGGGAAGTTATGTGTTGCCCAAAATCTTATGGAGGCCTTAATCTGGGTTTTTATGGGGTTTTTATGGGATGAAATAGCAGTCATCCCAACTAACCGCCACTCTATCAAGTGGGCCAGGCCAGATTGCACAAGTCAAGTGGGCTTGAACTGGGCCCTGACCCCTCTGAAGCCCACGAAGCCTCATGGACGAAGGCGAGCACACATCCGTTGACCCCGAGAGCAAGCACTTACCTGCAAGCTGGTGTTTAGAGTCGAGGCGTGACAAAACGTTATTGGACTCTGTTTGGAACTTGGAAATTCCACTGAAAATAA